GGCTGCATCACAACTAGTGTGAAAATACGGACATAAATGTGTGAAGACAGTAAAAAAAACGGTCACATCTTACTATAGATAAAAATAGATTATATCATGCATCATCTACAGTTAGCTATGCTAAGTTTGAACTTATTGCTTGACAAGTAAATTCAGGTCTACTACCTGACATGGTGATAAAAAAAGAAATGTTAGCTCACATTTTAGAGAAACCAAATCAATTCCCCATTATCCACAAAAAATGAAGTGTAGAAAATAGAATTGGATATCTCCAAAATTATCTAATTTACACTATAATATCTGATCCATCTTGACTGTCTGGAATTAGTTAGTTAAAAAAAAAAGAAAAAAAATCACAGATAAAATATACTGACCCAAAACAAAACTAAAAAACTAAAATTATTTTATTTCAGCTAGACGAGAAGGCAACACATATTTTCATGTGCTATACCTTGATGTACTAAAATAACAAAAACTAAATAAAAAATTAATAAAAACCCTATACACATCAAAAAAACAAAGATGACAAAAACACTTTAATAATTACTGTAACTAAAATTACTAAAACTGTAACTAACATGTAAAGAAAATATAAAAACTAATTCAAAATATTAATAAAAACTATAATAGCAGTGGTTTCCACAGTAATGGCCGTATCCAAATCAGCTCCGCTCATGAACGCTACTGAAGAACCTGAAGAATGGCCTTCCTCAAGGCAGCGTACTTGCCCCGACCTTGTTTAACATATATACCAATGATCAACCCCTGCCATCCAAATGCAGCAGATTTATCTATGCTGACGATCTGTGTTTAACAACTCAGCAAAAGGCCTTCCCAGACATGGAAACTATTATAGAAAAGGCCCTATCAGAGATGTCTGTATATTACCAGGAAAACCACCTCAAGGTAATTCAGAGTAAAACCCAACTTTGCAGCTTCCATCTTAATAACAAACAGGTAAAGAGACAGCTGAAAGTAATATGGGACGGACTAGAACTGGAAAACCATCCTTACCCAGTCTACCTTGGTGTCACCTTAGATCGTACGCTGTCCTATAGAGAGCATATCATCAGACTGAAATCAAAGATCAGCACAATAAATAATCTTCTCAGGAAATTAACCTACAGAAATGGGGAGCTGACCCAAACACAATTAGAGTATCAGCTCTGGGACTATGCCACTCTGTAGCAGAATACGCGTGCTCTACCTGGAGTAGATCATGCCATGCACAAAAGATTGATACATCTCTCAATGAAACATGCCGGATAATCACTGGCTGTATAAAAACTACTCCCACACTCTGCCTACATGCCTTGGCCGGAATAGCACCTCCAGATATAAGAAGAACTGCTATCAGCAATGAGGAACAGACCACTGCAGAGAAAAAGCTTTATGGATACCACACAAGCCAGAAGTACATCCAAGAAAGCCTTTATTGAAACTCTTTGGCTTGATAGATGGAATGCCACTTGTGTGGGGGCAAGATCTTGGGAAGCCAGAGGAATAATCCCCGATGAGTGTCTAGCCAGTGGCAACAATCAACCATGGCCTATCTGGAAGTCCCTCAACAGGCTACGAGTAGGCCATGGAAGATGCCTACAAACGTTACATGCTTGGGGTCTCTCACCAACCTGCAAGTGCGAGTGTGGTAGCGAGCAAAATATGCAACACCTCATGCAGTGCAGCCTAGCACCGCAATGCTCAGATCATGATCTAGCAGAGCCCAGCTACCACGCCATCAGTTGTGCTACACACTGGAAAGATGTAATATAAGATCGTAGGACACTAAGAAGAAGAGATGAACGCTACTTTATCAGATAAAATGAAAACGCCACTGAAACTTTTCTGATGACTGTCAGTTCCCTTCAGAGATACATTCACACAAAACAACCGCGCTGTGTTTTGATTTTGAAACGTGCAGTGCACATGTTTATTCAACAAAGTCAAACACTGAAGGGGACATCTGAGACAAAATTCACTTTTACATGGTGTTTGCATATAAATGTGTCGTGTGGACACAACCACCCTACAATGACAAAAATCCATTCACTCCTTTTTTTTTTATTATTCTCAAAACACCTAAACAGTCAATTATCAAGCTGTTTTGATTTTCTGCCCCGCCCACAACCGCTGACGGACTGTCCGTATTAGCATATTTCCACCCTCAGCCAGTTATACGCTGTCCGCCATTTTCTTCGCGCTCAAGCAGCTGTAGTTATAGCTGCAGAAATACAGGTGTTTTGTAGTTGGATTTAAAAGTGAACATAAAGCCCTATTCGCACGGGATTAGTATTATGACTGCCTAATGAGCAGTAACTTATTACTTAAAGGGACATGGCAAAGGTAAATGGTAAATGGCTCGCTGTGAAAAGAGCCGTTTTTGACAAGGTAAAAAGGGTGTAATTTTACATGACCATTGAGAAATTTTAACCAAAATATGTTGCAGACATAAAGAATCATATCAATTTGTGGAAAATGGGCATCCGATGTCCACTTTAAAAAAAACTTACATTGTCCGGTTAGATGGATTTAAAAAAAAAAGAAACTAATATAGTTTCATGCCCTGTGTCATTTACATTTCACCAGTTTAAAATAATATCTCAAGCTTTATGCTTGATTTATTTGTAACACATTAACCTCAAAACCTTTTCAGCTTTCTCTTTCTGCAAGTTGTATGGTGTAGCGATATGACAGCACCCAAAATACTATCAAAAACTCCAACGCAGCTCCATTCTTCGTGAAAGATGGATAAAAAGGCACACAGGAAACAAAAACCTAGAATAATGATATACGACCCGCCAAATGCTGGCCAAATCACAGAGATGCCGATTCGCACGGGGCTATCATTATTACAGGACCTTGGTATTCGGCGAAATATGGTAGGTCCTTTGCGGGGGAATTTTTACTTTACAAATTAGAGACATGGCCGATTCGCATGGGATTAAGATCACAGACAACCTCTGCAATTATTACAAATGACTGGAAGTCACCAAGTAATACTAATCCCGTGCGAATAGGGCTTAAGGGTCTTAATTTTCTCTCGACATCAGATTCACAGAGGATGGTGGTGAGCAGTAACTTATTACTTAAAGGGACATGGCAAAGGTAAATGGTAAATGGCTCGCTGTGAAAAGAGCCGTTTTTGACAAGGTAAAAAGGGTGTAATTTTACATGACCATTGAGAAATTTTAACCAAAATATGTTGCAGACATAAAGAATCATATCAATTTGTGGAAAATGGGCATCCGATGTCCACTTTAAAAAAAACTTACATTAATATAATTTTACTTCATCTT